GGTTGGGAATTTTGCAGGTTGGAATTTTGCAGGTTGGGGATTTTGCAGGTTGGAATTTTGCAGGTTGACAGGAATTTTGCAGGTTGACGATGCAAACTGAAAATTACACTACTATAAAGTATTCTAGTATAATTTTATTGTGTACTTATTGCAGTCTGACTCCTTGTCGCCGCTTTTGATATCAGCTGCCTATCCTGCTACCATGTTTCTAGCCTCTGCTCATCACCCTTGTGAAAACATTCAAAATGACCAGATTGGCTTGGATCTTCAGGGGGACGAATGTTTCGATTGTTGCGAGAAGCCTACATGACGTGGTGGTAGTTCAGAAAATGCCTGAATGAGGTGTCTCTCCTCTGCACCCACTTATGAGACCACTCAAGCCCCCAATTACCGTATCATTACTCGAGAGTTAGTTAACTTTTAACAACATTCTAGTATAAACGCCGCCACATCATGTAGGCACCTCGCAACAATCAAAACATTCGTCCAGGGGCGTAGGAAGCTTCTAAAAGTTGGGGGGCCAGGCTTTGAGGGGCACTTTCCGAATAAAAAAGGGCATCTAAAAATTTTTTCACGGAAATGTTGGCGACGGGGGGGGGGAGGTCTCAAAAATATTTTCCGTACATACCAAAAAAAATTTTTCCGGATATATCCAATTTTCCTATATGTGAAAAAAATTTTCCGGAAACAACAAAAATTTTTTCGTGCATGTCATATTTTTTCCGGAAATGAAAAAAATATTCCGGAAAATAACATAAATTCAGGTTTCGAAAAGTGCGCTTTGGGCAAAAAAAGGCAATCCTTAAAACATTTTTAACGCAAAAAAAGGGCACTTTGCTCCCGGAAAAAGGGCACTTGGCAAAACTTGGGGGGCCTGGCCCCCCCTGTCCCCCCGTTCCTACGCCCCTGCATTCGTCTCCCTGTAGGTCCAAGCCAATCTGGTCATTTTGAATGTTTTCACGGGGGTGATGGCCACTAGCCTTAGAGCAGTGGCGACGACAAGGAGTCAGACTGCAATAAATGCACAACTAAATTATACTAGAATACTAAAAAAGTGGTGTAATTTTAAGTTTGCATTATCAACCTGCAAAGTTCCTGGCAACCTGCAAAGTTCCAACCTGCAAAATCCCCAACCTGCAAAATTCCAACCTGCAAAATTCGCAACCTGCAAAATTCCAACCTGCAACCTGCAACCTGCAACCTGCGTTTTGTACCTGCCGAGCACTAGCTGCACTGCCTTACTCTAACTTAGCGCCTTGTAAATAATAATATAAGACTCCTTTTAAGCTTCCACTGGTTAAGAAAAGATGGGGCATCTTCATAACCTGTCAGCAAAAGATGGGACATCTTTCTGACACAAGAGTTTTCACTAAAAGTATTCTAGATATTATTCAAAAAGCTATAGCACTAGCTGCATCGCCTTGCCCTAACTTAGCGTGATGTAAGAATAATATAAGACTCCTTTTAAGCTTCCACTGGTTAAGAAAAGATGGGACATCTTCATAACCTGTCAGCAAAAGATGGGACATCTTTCTGACACAAGAGTTTTCACTAAAAGTATTCTAGATATTATTCAAAAAGCCAGCGCTATATTGCTGCATGCACCGCTTTACTCTATAACTCAGCGTGATAGGATTTTATAGGACTTTTTTAAGGACTTTTTATAATATAGGACTTTTTTAAGCTTCCACTGGTTAAGAAAGATGGGACATCTTCATAACCTGCTAGCAAACGATGGGACATCTTTCTGGCGCACGAGTTTCCACTATATATCTATATAAATACTCATAATTACTCAGCTAATATGTATGCGCTTATAGTTATTTTGCATTCCGCAATGCGCAGTCTGCGCTGTCATGCGAAGAACAAATGAACATAATATAAGGTTCTTTTATTATACCAGCCACTGTATATATATGTAAATAAATATTATTTGTCTTGTGTAATGTATATATTACAATCAACTCGCGGTTGTGATAGCCCCTGCTTGAAAGGCGCCGTGGTACCAGGCGTATCTAACATAGTACTAAAGCAAATAATAACTGATTAAGTGGTCCAATACCTACAGCTTTTTGACTATTATACCCAACTGATTACGCATCAATCTTTAATAAGCACCCATCAAAATATTGCCAGTTTGTTGGATCTTGATCTCCATACTGAATCCATACACACGATTGTCAAGCAGAATGCACTCTTTCTTCAGACCAGATTTTGGCGCAATTTGAACTTTGCGCGGCATTGTCTGCTAACATTATTATAAATTGGTGATGACAACCTGGTTTGTATGTTAGCTCAGTTAGTTATTTGCTACATTATATCTGTATGGGGTTAAATTTCATGCGCGCATAAATTATTTCACTATAAATTCATTATACATGTCACCACTCTTACCACCTCGACTAATAATGCTGTGGTGACCAACACCTTCAAGATAATTCAATTTATAGGCGTGCGGGTCCTCATGTGCCACAAATTACCACTGGTAGTTGGACCAAGAATGTTTGTTGGCAAAGTTTAAATAGCCAGGCCCAGTATATTGTTTGTCGTCACCTAGGATACGACGCGGAAAGCTATCTTGTTAATGTGTCCGCTCCAACAGATGCCAAAGATGAATCATTTTCTGGAAATATAGATTGTAATGGTGGAGAGAAGTACTTATCCCAGTGTTCAATTACTGCTTCGGCCAGCGAAAGTTGTTCTGGGTTATCATACATACGATGTAAGTGCATTGGTAAGATAAAACGAATAGGATGCAGATGGCAAAGAAAGGAGTAGAAAGAAATAGAAAGTATAGTAATAAACGGAAGATAGAAAGAACAAATTAAATGGGGTCAGCTAATCAAAATCTAGAATGCATGACTATCTATTTTCATATTTTAGGTGGTTATGGTTTTATGAGACCACAGTTAGAAGATAAACGAAGATTTCCTGATTCGTCATTTGGTGCTTCTGCTTCTTTAAAAGGTCACGGTGCTTCTGATGCACGGATATCTAGTGGTAATTCTTGGTGTGCTCCTGTCCTAGAAGACAAACATTACCTTCAAGTGAATTTGAGAAGACTATATTCTCTCTATTATGTCATAACATATGGTGACAGTATCAGCCCAGCATGGGTGGCTACATATAATCTGAATTACACCATTGATTTGGTGAACTGGAAAACTTTGGTGAGAAAGAATTATATAAGGAGCCGACCATTTAACTTTTGAGGGGGGGAGGTGATTTACTGCTGGCAGGGATTTTTTTTCTGGGATCGTTATGGGCAAGTTGTTTTTTTCTGTCCCAACACCATGTACGATTTTTTTTTCCACTCTCTCTTTTGCAGCATTTTTTTTCAATGGCTTATACTATTTAGATTCTTTAATTATAGTTAACGTTGAGTTTTCTAGCTTCATGCATTGCTTGGCCTCTTTTAAGGCAGGACCGTAGGAATCTCTTTTCGATTGGGGGTGGGGGGGGGGGCGGAAAGCGAGGGCCGAAGGTCCGAGGAAATTTTTAAATTTAGAGTCTCTGAAATGCCATTTCCTGGACTTTGGGGAAGATTTTGACAGAATTCTGATATTCAGCGTTTTAGTATGTTGAAATTTACAATTTAGTGGTACTAAATGGGCGATGGCGTATTTAATTAACTATATATTGGATAAGTTGCAAGAAAGTATGGGTAATATCTTCATTCTTTGCAGTTTGTCATGGATTAAATGACAAAGGTCTGCATGATTTTGAAAAAAGAATGATTATTAGCAAATTATTGGGGGGGGGGGGCTGCAGCCCCCTCAGTCCCCCGGTTGCTACGGCCCTGTAAGGATGTGTAACTGGAGGGGACATATTTAGCGGGGGACCCGGAGAAGTTCGAAGTCGGCAAGTCTGTGTCGCTGCAACTACCTGCAGCATATATATGCATGGTTTAACTAATAAGTATGCGCCAATAAAATGCGCCATAGGGCAGCAGATCAGGCCATAGCTAGGATTCACTTAAAATCTGTTGATAATAACAGCCCTCAAACACAAAGTATGTGGCGTTGAGACAAAAAGACAGAAGATATTATTGATCTTCTGTCTTTTTGTCTCAACGCCACATACTTTGTGTTTGAGGGCTGTTATTATCAACAGGTTTTTGGAACAGCGATGGGGTCACCAGTATCGGCAGTAATTGCTAATTTAGTAATAGAAGATGTCGAACAAAGAGCTTTAGCCTCTGTTCCGGTGTCCCTATCGTTTTGGAAACGTTTCGTCAATGATGTCATCTCTGCGGTTTCTACAAATGAGATCGATATTCTGCTGCAACATTTAAATTCTATTGAGCCGTCCATCCAATTCACGGTAGAACGTGAAATAAATGGACATTTAGCTTTTTTAGATTTGAATGTACACAGAACTGTCGAAAGGAAGTTAGAGACTGATGTTTATCGCAAACCCACACACACAGACAAATACTTGTCATACGACTCTCATCACCCAGTAAGCCATAAAAGATCCGTAGCAAAAACTTTGCTTCAAAGAGCTGAATCGTTGCCGTCAAACAGTGATTCTCAAGCTAATGAACGTGAATATGTTCTAAATGTTTTAGGGGAAAACAATTACCCAAAGCGTTTTCTTAATGATTGCCTGAGACCACCTGTTTGTAGGAACCAAAATAACTCCGAGGGTGATACCTCTGTTAAGGGTTATGCAATAGTTCCATACATTCAAGGTGTCACAGAACCAATCAAGAGAATCTTAAGTAATTGTAATATTAAGGTTGCCTTAAAACCCTATTTGACTTTAGGCCATATTTTCGCAAAGCCAAAAGATCCTGTTAAAACAAATCAGAAAACTCATGCTGTATATTCTATACCATGCGGTGACTGCGAGAAAGAGTATTTGGGTCAGTCTAAACGCCAGTTTGGTACACGGCTAAAAGAACATCAAAAGGCTGTTTCAACTTTAGACAAGGGAAAATCAGCTTTAGCCGAACATGTATGATACACCAAACACGAGATTGCGTGGGAAAACTCTAAAGTAATTACCACAAACAATCGCTATGGTCAAAGACTTTGCCTAGAAGCGTGGCATATAAATATGAGTAATCATGCTTTGAATAGGGATGACGGTGCCTATTTGCCAGAGGAATATATGCATCTCATTGGCAAGTGACGTCATCCCTTGAGTATTTAAGAAGCCACGTTTGCAATTTTAGATCACCCCTGATGAAGACACTAGACTGGAGTGTCGAAACTTTGGGTCTTGATTACAATTCGACTGGGCTTTGTAATCATTTATTTAAACCAGAGTAGCAAGCGAAACATGACCTTGAGGATTTTCCAACAAGAAATTAACCTTACACTAGTCCCTGAATATCAAACCAGCTGATCTTCTGGGACTGGTCAAATCGATCCCTGCAGCCACGCTGTTTTGCAACAATTTTTCCGCACCAAATAATGGGGCAGGATATATTTTCCCTCAGTTTGTTAGTGCAGGTATTATTTTTTTTTGTTCAGAATGGCCTTGCGGGAAATTTTTGTTCAAAATCACCCACCTCCCTCAAAATTTAAATGGTCGGCTCCTAACTAAAATGATATCATATAGTATGTACTTATTAAGCCTATTATTGTGACTTCTTGTTAAAGATGCATCTCTTACTGTTCTTTTTTGTAGATGCTTCAAGGAAACAAAAATGCTTACCATTATGCAGCTTGGCGAAATCTTCGCGTTTTAGCAAGAGCTTTACGGTTCATTCCATTAACATACGTAGGTCAACCATGTATGAGAGTTGATACTTGGGGTTTATGTAAGTTATTGTACATCATTGTCTCTTTTGAATTTCTTATAAAATAACTTAAAGTAAGGAGCATCCCTACAGTTTCTCCTGTGGCTCATTTAACCGAATTATACACAAGCCGTAAAAGTATTCTTAGTCAAAAATTATAAAAAAATATCCTAAAAATCAAAAAGTAAATAACTATAAAATAAAATAATCTCACTGCATATACCACCTGAAAAATCTGTCGTTACTGGAAATTGCCAAGTTGACCGGTTTTAATTGACGATGGGTCCATTAACATCTGAAGAAGATGAGTGTTCAAGATGTGTATTGTATAGAACATGCTCGATTCAAGACTGCATGGCAATATCGTGCAATAAAAACACTTTCTCCTTTTATAGTCGTTTTCCAGTTTGGTCATTTTTGAAACATTGTTGTCAACAGCGAAAAAGACAGAAAACGTGCTAATGTCTCTAAATTGTCTCTAAATTTTAAAGTGCTAATGTCTCTAAAAATATTTTCTATATTTCAAAAATGAAGACTCAAGGTGTACTTAGTCTTTGGAATGAAGTACATAATGTACAGGTTTCTGAAAGGCATTCATTCAGTAATCTCAAACTACGAGTTAGAAAAAGAACGATGACAATTGCATACACAAACACTCGAATCAATATACCTTATGCATAATGACGTCACTAGGCTTGTTGCCCACGAGGAATGCTGGTCTTAGTATTCATTGCCTGGGAAAATTACGATAGCGGCCATTTTGAATTGTTTATTTCTACCCGGGCAATAACTACTAAGACCAGAATTCCTCGCGGGCATCAAACCTTGTGATGTCGTTACCCAGGTCTATTCCAACATTCCTTTGTCCTATCCGTCCAATTAGACCAATACTGAATTTTTCATTCCAAGACGTGTCAGATGTGCCCATACATACACCGACTTAAAGGGATATGGCATTATTCCGTATCTTGCTTAGCTTGGTTTTCGAAATAAATCGACTTATATTGATCAAAACCAGCGTGCATTCCGCCATCTTCGATATGCATTCGATATGCATACGTCACAAGTAGGGTAAAAAGCGAAATTTTTATCTTGTAAACCACATGTCATGCATTATCAACATGAAACTCGATTTTCCGAAGTCTTTTTGGCACTCAATTAACTCACAACATTTCAAGAAGCTTTTCGAAGGAATTTAGTCCCACGTGAAGAAGTTTTAACAAGTTTACCATGTTGTGACGTCATCATAAACTAGGTTAATTGGATCAATTATAATACCAAGATGGTGGACTGCACATTGATTTTGGGCAAAATATTTTGAAAACCAAGCAAGATAAGAAAAAGTTGTAAAGGATCCTCATATATGACTTTACAAGTTCTTTCAAATAAGACAAAGTTAATTTTCATTGCCATATTCCTTTAATTACCGTTTTGAATACCATCTGGTAAGATCATATGGTACCAGCAAAAATGCAAGTACGCAGATAGTGAGGGTATCTACGTGAAACTTGGTTGCACACAAATTAAAGAAGTACCGCACCGTAGTATTGGCCTACCTCCGATATGTAAGTACGCGATTTATCGCACTCTGCTTTAATTAGGCTAGATAAAATTTAGATAAACACCCTTGTTTTTATGCACTTTAGCTCCGAGCGGTCCTTCAGTGAACATCAGAACCACATCAAGAAGTGCATCGTCACTGTTTTTCGCCTGGGACGTCGACCATTCTCAGACAACCAAACAACATGGCGTAATTATCAGTTATACAGCTTGTGTTTCACGTTCAGAAAATGGTCCTTGCTTTCAAAAATTTATCACAAGTGAAAGAAAGTGGCTCGTCAGAAATTTGAATGCATCAACAAAATACTATGTTCGTGTTTTCGCAAGTACTAAAGTTGGCCATGGAAACAGTGACAGCAGAGGAGTTTTTACAGATGAAAGTAAGTACAACATGCGTATATTGAGAATTTTTGTGGTTTTAAAGTCTCTAAGGACAGTTTTTGTTCTGAATTTTATACTTGCCGTTGCGGCGTTTGGCTTATACGTTTCAAAATTTATACAGGTAATATTGCTTTCCTGACTTTATTTAATATCAGACATGTGTTTGCTCGTTCTAAGGTAAACGTTACTATATTCAGTTAGGG